ATGTCCAGTATAGCACTGACCACGTCCTAAGTCCCCAGAACGCCCAGCTTCCAACGTGACTTGCCAAGAATAAAACCTTCCCCTAAAACACAGGGATCATGGTCCATGGCCTCCTTGACTTTGTGTAGGCAGCTCTCAAGTTTAGGCTTCCTTCTCCTCACTTGCACATTCTCCGATGGATCCTTTCCATGGGATGCATTATGTATGGTTGGAAGCTCCCTCTGCTGGTGCCCTTGAGCCTATCTGAAGAAAAGTCAGAGATGCTTGTCTACGCCCACTTCCTAAGGGGTGGGTTGATAACGCCTGGTTTATAACTCTGTGTGTCCAGGCACCCACTTGCAGACCATGCCTGGGGGAACTGGCACTGCACCAGGGGGCCGTGGCTGCCGCACCTCCCAGGGACTGCGGGCGTGGAGGCGGAGGAGGGCTGTGCTCTGCAGGGATTCAGCGGCCGACTTCCCAGGACCAGGTCTCCAGGACTCGCTTCCAAGGTGCCTCTAGGTAGCTTCAAACCTCCAACCTTTCAGTTCGCGGCCGAGTGCTTAACCCTGTGTGACACTTGGGGACCCCCTGCTTACAACACGACCACATCCCGGGTGGTAAGACAGCAGAGGGCTGGAGAGCCTGGGGCCTGGAGTCCTGCTGCTGTCCTTTGAGGGCTTGCTCTGCCATTGGGCAGCATCAAGGAGCCAGCCCAGTGATCGGCATCCATTGGGCCGAGCTTCCCCACTCAGGAAATGGGGATCACACCGGGGATTTCCTCATGGAGGTTCTAGCACAAGACCCTCAAGGGCCTCAGAGCCTCTCAAGCGCAGAGACTGGATGTCCTTGACTAGATGGTGCTCAGTGAATAAGGGAAAGGATGCGGGTCGCAACCCCCATAAGAAAGGGCTGTGGATGTATTTCTGACAGGTCTCCCCCTTCCCACCATGCCCGCCCATGGAAGACGTGCTGCAGCAGCTCTGCTCAGTCACCTCTGGGGTTGCCCTAGGTTGGAATGGGCTTGACAGCATGCCATGTCCTTGTTTGCTGTTGCTGTGACGTTCCTTGACCCTTCCCCCTACTCGGCAGCCCCTGCCATGCCCCTACACACATCTCAATGGCTCTCTGGTTTCTGTGTTTGCACCTGTTCCCAGCCATCTCTCAGTCTGTCTTGCAAGAAGCCACCACGCAGGGCTGGCCCCCTGCGCACACCTTCTCCACCTGTCCCTGGATCTCGGCATCCAGTGGGTAGGCACACTTTCACTGGAGGGTCCCTGTATTATATATCATCATCGTCGTCGTCATGGTCACCATCATGTTCCCCGTGCTAAATGCACCCTGTTGTAAAATGACCCCTCTCCCGGCCATTCAAAGGCCATCGATGGATATCAGTGATGAGAACGCCAACCAGCAGGTCTTGATTTCACGACGATGACAACTGCCTCCCAGAACTCTCAGAAGTGTGAAGAATCGACACCAAGAGTGTGGTTGTTGGTGCAGAGTGTGCACTCAGCTGCTCACCTAAAGGTTGATGGGGGAGGGGCTCGAAGGCACCCAGGGGTGCAGCGGAAGATAAGCTTGGCAAACTACTTCTGGGAAGGTTGCCGACAAGAAAGCCTGTGGAGGTCAGCTCTGCTCAGTGACCAGTGGAGTCACCCCTGAGTCATCTTCACTCAGGGCCAGAGGTCTTCACGTGATACCGACTCACAGGCTGATATACTCTGGGTTCCCGAGTGGGGCCCTGGGGAGTGACTCTGCACAACCCGTTTGACCTTGGCGAAGCCAGGGGTCCGCCTCATCTCTATTATTTTTGCGAAGATCACTGAAGTAGAGTAAGTAGAGTAAGGCTCTAAGCCTCGCCCCTCATACAGCAGACAAGAGGACCTGACAACGTTCATGTTGGAGGCCATGGGCACTGGCAAGGCCCACGGGAGGGGTGCCTGTAATGTGTGTTTAAATATACATGCATTCCACGCTGGTTTTTTTAAAGGTTTAATTTAAAAACCACACAAGCTCTCTTTGTGGTAAGGACGATACACCAGGGATTCAAAGTCATCATTGAGTGCTGAAGTTAAAAAGATTAAAAAGGAAACATGGTGAATGCTTTTCACATGAAGGCCTGCTGGTTGGTTTTGCTTACTGTGAAGGTCATT